GGTTTAGTTTTGAGTGTTTAGAGGGTTTTAGGTGTCAAAACATTTTTTAGGGTTTAGAATTTTAAGATATAGGCTTTATAAATCTATAATTAGTGGCATGTAAATGGACACCCCTAAGTGGCATTCTTGCAAATGTGCACACAAAAAATGGCATTTTTGTAAGGGGCTACCACTTTTTGTATGCACATTTGCAAAAATGCCACTTAGGGGTGTCCATTTACAAAAATGCCACTAATTATAGATTTATAAAGCCTATATCTTAAAATTCTAAACCCTAAAAAATGTTTTGACACCTAAAACCCCCTAAACACTTAAAACTACACCCTAATAGAACATAATTAACCCAAACATAAATAATATAAAGAAAAAATAATTTTGAAAAAGTGGCATTTTTGTAAAGTGGCATTTGAAAAGTGGTATTTTTTAAAATTTTTCTTTTAGTAATTGCCCTTTCTTTTTTGTGAAAATGATTTCTATTGAAATTAAAAAAAAAAGCTTGTTTTAGACTTTTAGTTACAAAATTAGATCATTTTGGTAAAGAAACCAAGGTGAACCTTTTACATACTTTTTGTATAGTAAATTTTATATTTAGTCAATTAAAATATCGTTTTAAGATTTATTTCTGTTTTTTTAAGTGGATTCAATGCAAATACATAATATATAGAAAAAAATTTATGTAAATTTCTAAATATTTTCTCATGATTTTGTATTTTTATTATATTTTCTTGTTATTTTTTGTTGGTAGTAATTTTTTCAACCTCCACAATCTTATTTAATATAGTGAGGATGACATGTGTCATCTAAATTTTTGAAATTTGTCTTTTTAAATTGTTTACTAGAAAAAAATGAAGTGTGTTTTAATAATTTTAGCAATTAATTCTAACAATTAAATAGCTAATTCTTATGTAAATTAATTATAACAATTTAAAATTAAGTATTTTGTGTAGATTTATGTAATTTTTATGTAAATTATAATATAAGTTTTATGTACATCAATGTATAGAAAATAAATATTTTATTAATAAAATTCAAAAATATTCTATACAAAAAAACATGTAATTTTTTGCCTTTTTATACAGGTTATTGCGATTTTAAAATAATAAAAAATCACAAAAAATAGCTTTAATAACAAGAAGCATAATATGAACAAAAAAAAGAAGATGATGTGAGAAAATTAATTAAAGAATGATTTTAGGATTTTTAGGACTGTTAAATCCAACAAGACTAATTGGAGAAATTTAGAACTTAAATGTTTTTAAATGCTTTCATAGATTTTAAAGTCATATAACATTGTATATGTCCAATAATTTGATACAAATACTTAGGCTT